TCAAAATATTTCCATTTTTAGGTGGTTGGTGTGTTTTTTGCTAAATTAGTGCTAAGAGAGATTTGTGTAGCACTCTCTGCATACCCAAAGCCTGCACAGTATTCAGCTGCCAGGGTAACTGAACAGTTCCTCCAGTTCACATTCCACAGATACAGTAGCTTTAAAAACAGAAAATCCATATCTGACTTGAAAAAAACAAATTAAATGAGGTCTTATTTCAAGATTCAAAAATGACATATGTATATCCCTGAATGAGGACTATTTCTTTTCTTTTATTGTGGAAAATAACAATTTCTTCAATTTAAACATATTTTTATTCTCCTCAGAGCTTTCTTCTTCCCCTATGAGTGCTTTTCTGGTTGGTTTTATATATATGTGTAAACCTGCAAAGACAGGGCACGTTTGCTTTGGTGTCCTTTAAGCTCAGGAGATTTCCTTTACTTTAAAGAAATTAACCCGACTGAAAATATTTGAAATTTGTATTTAAAATCTTCTGCAAACACCCACTAAATCCCAGCTTGTTTTGGCACCTCACCATTTGTAGAGCTGGACATGATGAAGCACACACAGTCGTACACAGAGGGGTTTTCTCGGATCCTCTCCACCCAGACATTGGCCACCTCAGGCTGGGAGAGGCAAGTCAACAACAGCCTAGGCAAGAATTCCCCAGTTAACACATCAGAAGCCAGTCCACTCCTTTTAGCTGTGCCAGTGTCAATCCAAAATAATGACAGTGGAAACAGAAACAGGAATCTAACTCACAGCAAAGTGATTCCACAACAGTGCAGAAACAATAAAAGGAAAGGATGAGAGGATAATAAAATAGTGAGCCCACTTGTCAGTTTTCTCCCCAGGCCTCAGAGCACAGCAGAACTACACTAATGATGCATTAATTCCTGAGATATCCTACCTGCTTGTTTCCAGAAGGGTGGGGGAGTCTGAATCACACAAACGTTGCAGTAACACTTGGCTTTAAGGAGAAAATGCGGGGGGAAAAAAGTCAATAAAATCCATCTTTATTTCTAAAAAAGGTATAAAAATATTAATTTCATAACTGCAGCCATGTTCTGAGATTAATGCCAGCTTCTCCTAACTGTGCATGCACTTCCAGTGTCTCAAGACCACCAAACTTGAAAACTAAATTGACTAGTGCTTCAAAATCCCCCAAAATAGTGGTCTGTGTCCTTTCTTCCTTTCCTGAGCACTTCCCACACAAACATGGCCAGCCAAAAGTTATGAATGAAGATGAGGCTGGGCAGGCAAGCTTAGATCCTTCTCTAGCATGAATTTCCTGATTGTGAGTCCAGACAAGCAGTACCTGGTCATGTACAAAGCACAGACACTTACCCGAGATTCTCATCTTTGCTAATGGACATGCAGATGTCCTGGAAACAGGCCATATTCCCTAATATTCCCACACAGATTTCCTGGAAAGTCAAAACACAGTATAATGAGACAACTGCCAGTCCACAATTTCACTTCCACAGCCATAAGACAAAAGTAAGAGAGGTTCAAAGATGTTTTCTGGTTTGACTTCCAAGCTTGTATGACCCACTGATTTCATGACAAAGATACAAATTTTTCCACAGATTTTTCTGTTCTATCAGACTAGCCTAAAATATGCTCAGGTACCATGCAGATATTTAGGTGCTCCATAAAAGCAAATGTATCTTGAAATCAGCTCTGCTTGCATATTCTTTGTATACTGTTTTGAAGCTAATTTGACAGCCCTGTTATTAAAGCAAAAAGGAGTCCTAAAACAAAAATATCACTAAAATGTGACCCTCATGATATTCACTTGCTCACAAAAGAAAGGGATCTTAATACAAGCTTCCAGCAGAGCCTATTTTCTGGTTAGAGAAATCTAAATAAAATAAAATAAAAAAAAACCCCCAAAGCAGTGCATCCCATTAGGATACTCATGCCAAGATAACCATTAAGAGGATGTACACTTGTGTAAAGGGGACCATGAGAGCTCTGAAACACCTGCAGGCAACTGGTGGCAAAACAAAGTGAATCAGTTTGCAGCAATTTAAAGTCAGAAATCAACTCTCTCCACTAAGGTTGTCTTCTTAATTATGAACATGCTATTACCTCTGCTAAATTACAGCAGGCACTCCAGGAAACACTGTTTCATGATAGTAGCTGTGACAGCCAACTTGCACTCACTTGCAAATTGGGGTTGTACTTTCCAAAGACAAAGTACTAAAGGAGTACAAAGTATTTTAGTACAAAGTACTAAACTTTCAAAGCTCCATTTGTCTCTACTGATCTCCTGGAGTAAAGCATCTGGTAACTTCTGAGAAAGAGGACTTACATCAACACTGAATACCTTTGAAAATCCTATTTTGAGGCCTGCAGTGCACTGTGTAGGACAAGCTGGAAATCAGTGACATCAAAACAAGTGGAAAATTAAAAAAAAAAAAATAAAGTATTGATGTCTTAACAATTCCAAAGATTACCCTCTGTAATCTTTTTTTGTTTGTTTGTTTATTTCTCATTATCTTGTTCTGATTTGATCAGTAATAAATTAATTTCCCCAAGTGGAGTCTGTTTTGCCCATGACAAATCACAGCAACTGGTGAGTGACCTCTCCCTTTTGTTGTATTTTCTCTCCCCTGTCCAGCTGAGGAGGGGAATGGCAGAGCAGCTTTGGTGGGCACCTGGCCTCCAGCCACACTTCTACAATTGTTTACAGAAGTGTAAACAATTTGTTTACACTTCTAAACAAATTCATGGCCATCTCTGTTCAGTAATCATGAAACAAGTCAAAAGGGAAAAAAAGGCCAGACTGCTGGTTTTATAAAAGGTCTTATAACTGTTTGATAACCTCAGTCCTTCATCAGTGTATCTAGATGAGGATGTGTGAGCAGACAGGTACCAGCTTCAGCACCACCAAAATTCTTACTGATTAGAGCATGTTAAAAACAGAGTGAAAAAACATTTTACAATTTGATTTTATGTTTTCTCCTGGCTCTCCTTATACATTACACATGCAATGGGAGAAGGGAGATAAATGTAAATGCATGTACAGAGCTATCTGCTATTGCTAATAACACAGGAGAGCTTTTTGGCAGCCCATACTTACAGTTAGCCGAGGGCATTTGGACTTGGCAAAAACTCCCATGAATATATCAGGGGCATTGAACTCCTGAAGGAATAAAGCAACATCCTGTGGAGAAAGTGAATGGAGAAGTAAATGGACCTCTGCAATTCCCAAATGCAAAATCAAACATGTTCCCACAGCACAAGGATTGGATCACAGAGATGACAAACTCACTAGAAGGAATTTGTTATTTGCCAACAGTTAATACCAATAATCCTTATTTTTCAATGAGAGAAGGCCAGCAAGCCCCTCTGGTGGTTCAGTATGCCAGTGATTTGCTGTAGAATGAGCCAAAAAGTCACATTTGCAAGAAAATGCAAATTGCTCCCTATCTCACCAGAAACAGGCACTCACCCAGAATTCAGTAAATATGATGTTTTAAGGCATGACATCACCATGACATATAAAAAAGAAGGAAGTGAAGGGACTGCCATTAGCACTTGATCAGAACACACAAGAAGAAATCTCTTCCTCATTTTACCACATTAAAACAGAAGATTATTTTTATGTTTGGGAGTAAAAGACCCATGTTCCATGTTTACTTTAAAAATCTGAGCAACAAGGTAGGGAATAAAATAATACTTAAACTAACATATATATATATCTCAAGAATCTGTTCCAGCATTTGAGAGTGCTGAGAAATATACTAAGTCTTACACTGCCACTGCAAGTCTGCAGCTAAACTTTGAAAGGCTGTTTATCTATCAGAGAAAGCTGTGCTTACCATCAGGACGTTTGACAATTACTAGAGGAAAATATGCCTGTTTAGAGACGGCACCAATACTATCCCCATGATCCAAGCGCTGAAGGCACAGGCTGTGCACCCGCGTTAATTCCAGCTGCTGTCCTGCCCCTGTCCCTCTTTCCAGGGCAGGCTCCGTGGTAAGGCTGCTCGGTGCCGCCCCAGCCCAGCTGGCCTGCCTCACACGCGGGCGTGGGCAGCACCTCCAGAGCGAGCGAGCTGGCTGATTCCCTGCCTTCTCCCGCTGCCAGCACCATTCTGACGGGACACTCGGGGCAGAGGCGCCCCGAGGTGCCGCACGAGGCTCCTACCTCGTCCATCGACATGTCCCACACCTTGCAAATGTCATTCTCCATCTCCTCGTCCAGCTCCGTCCGGCCTCCCTCGGGGCTGGCGGCGGGATCCGGCTCCGCGGGGGCGATAACCTGGGACAAGCGGGGCGGGGGGAACGACCCGGCTGAACCCACGGCGCCGCCCGGGCGGGGGTTCCCGCCCGGTGTTTTCCCGCTGTGTCCCCGCCCGGCCCCCGGATTTGTGCCCTGTGAATCCCAGCTGTGTCCCCGGGTTTGTCCCCTCTGGTCCCCGGGTGTCCCCTCCGGCCCTGGCAGCGACCGCGTCGCGCCCGCCCGGCGCTGACTGACGCTGGGCCCGCAGCCCGCTCCCTCCCGGCGGCCGCGCACCTCGATGAGGCGGGTGAGGACGCTGAAGAGCCAGTGCTTGCTGTACACCGTGTTGCCCACCGCGTCCCCCTCCTCCTCCTCCGCATCGCTGCACGGCGGCGACGGATTGCGGTCCATGGTGGCCCCACAGCCGTGCAGGGGCAGCGAGGCGGCGGCGCGGCCGGAGCGGCGCCCGCGGCCCCACAGCGCCCCCTGCCCACCGGCGGCCACTGCCGCCTCCCGCCCCCGGGCCTGCGCCGGATCGCACCGGGACCGTGACGGGCCCGTGCTGGGATCGCACCGGGATCGCACCGGGACCCACCTGCCCAGGGCCTTCCCTCGGCGGGGAGCGGCACCCGCGCCCCCGGAGCACCGGAGGTCCCAAGGGGGACCCTTTGGCAGCCCCCGTGATGCCCCGACCCCGACACGGCCGCCCCCGCAGTCCCGCAGTCCCGCGCCCCGTGAGGATGGATGCTCGCAGCGAAGGGAACAGTTCTCAGGAGGATTCTTTTATTGTGCTTTACAAAGCGAGGTGTGGCAGGAGCGGAGTACAGCGCTAGTACCGCCCGGGCAGCCCCTTGGGCCGGTAGTGGTTCGGGTCCCTGCCCCTCCGGCCCCACTCGTTCGCCTCCTGGTCCAGCCGGGTGTCCTCGGCGCCTCTGCCGCTCACACGGCTCTGCCAGCCCTCCCGGGCGTCGCTGTGGGGAAGGAGAAAAGGCCACCTGAACACACTGCATCTAACTCAGCCTTGTGTTGGTTCCCTCACTCGTGGTTTCCGCAAGGCTTCTCAAGGTGAGATGCAAGCACATGCTCGGCCTTTGAGAGCCTGTGGTGGAATCTCTATCTGCTATGTTGGGAAATGAACCAACAATGAAGGAAAGTTCCTTATCAGAAATGCAGAGAGAGGAATCTGCCTTATTGGGCTGACAAGAAGAAAGGCTCATGCTCATGTGGTACCATTCCTATAGAGACCGGCTGTCCAGATGGGAACTTCTTCCCTTCCCCTCTGCTGTCCTTCTAGGTACTAAGCTGAGGACAAGTAAAAAAGGACCTCACTGCAGCTGGAATGCCTGTATCCCCAATAACTCACTGTTAACAAGCCAAGCACACTCCATTACCTGATCACTTTCGCTGCCCAAGCACCACCAGGTCCTCTCCGGGCAGCATCATAATTCCCACGGGCATGGAAATACTTGTCAGCACCTTTGTAATTCGCCTCACGCATGTCCGTGTATGCTCTGAACATATCCCGTGCCCCTGAAAAGGCAGAAATGGAGATGATGTTGACTTGAAAGAGTCACACCAGAAATTGTTCACTACCACCTCAGCCAGGAGTTGAAAGGCCCAAGGAGCAGTAACAGAGTGATGCACTGCCCCCCATCAGCCTTTGCACAGAAAGCACCTGTGGGGGCTGATCAAGGTTCTTGTCCAGCAGCAGAAACCAGGGGGTCTCTAACATGGAGCTGAGGATTTCCCAGCTCTGAGGGCTGCACCACTGACTGCTGGTAGCCTGTGCTTGGGGAGGGTTCTGAGGGAAGGGCCCCTGGTAACAGCAGCTTACCTCCTGCTGCATCCCAGACAAATTTTCCAGCTTCGGCTATTTTTCCGAATATCCTTGGTCTGTCAGCACTCACACACAGAACAACGGAGAGCAACGCAATGCAGACCCAGAGCCTCATGGTTCCTGGCCAAGCCTGACAGGGAGCTGGGAGACAGTGAGAGAGATGAGCCGTTCTGGAGCACCACTGAGAACCCACCACACCCCCAGCTCTGCCTGAGCTGCTGCCTCAGTGCTGAGGGTTCATCCAGGACCCTTCTCCCCCTGCAAGGAGTGGTGCCCTCTGTGCAACCACAAGCTCCACAACAAAAGCAGGTGCACATGAGAAAGCTGCATTTTAGTACTCCCTGCTGTTCCTGTCATGAGTACAAAGAAGCCCCACAGAACCAATGTTCTGCTCCCAAAATACCAGCTCAAAGCACTGCACACAGCTCACAAATTCAGAATGTCACTCACCACTGCAGAACAGCAAAGCCAAAGGAGCTGGAGATCGTCTCGTGTGCTCTCAGACTCAAAGAGGGTATTTATAAGCAATTCAAACCCCTCAAAAGAGGAAACTGGAAAGGGTACCCATGGCTGGGAAATCCCCACCAGCACTTACAACACAGAAATCATTACTGGAAACCTGTCCTTGTCCTTACTGAAAGTCCACAGCTCCTGTTATGCAATCTTTTAGAGGCATTTCTTTTATGGCACTTCTTCAGCTGTCATTGGGGCTATTTGCTATATTTGCCATAACAACCAGACTGACAAACTGCCTTAAAGGCTGAAGAGTTCCATGTGCTTTAAGGGTGATGCTTTTGTTTGGATCTTGGCCTGAACAGAGCTTGGAGGGGAGGGTGCCTGACTGTCTGCACATTGCAGCACAAGGCCAGGTCAGTGTCTGTGCACAAGGAATGTTACCAGAAGGGTTGCATGAACTGCTAAGTGAAATTTCCATGTGTGCTGGGGTTGCCAGATGAATTCCAGAGTGAATGAAGTGGAAAATGTGAAGTGTTGCTCTTAACTCCATTGCAAAGCAAAGCACATACACCCACATCCCTGCTGATCTAAGATAGCACAGACACACAGACCATCCAGAGGCTCTGAATGGTTCATTTTGCCTTGGCTTGCTCTTACAGGCCCCTCTCAAGGGTCTCCAGCTACCTTGCTGCAACAGCAGCTCCATGCGGCTCAGGCAGAAAGTTTTGGACATAGCAGAAAACATTTTACTTAATTCAGATCCATACAGCCACAATTCTGCTGGACTTTAAATCAACTGTCTGGCCCTATTGGCATGGTTCACTGTTTAAGTACCCACTGTGCTCTCCCTGCTTAAAGCCTGCTCACTCCCCTTGGTTAACAACTTGACACAACCCTTTGCTCTGCAGAAAACTCCGGGGTTGAGTGCAGTTGTACTCGAGAGTGAGTGTGCAGGAGGTGTCCCTGTCCCCATTCTGTGGCCTTGTACATGATTTGGTAAGTCTAGGAGAGCAGTTCAGGTGCCCCTCTGAACAGTGTAGGGTAGCTGCCCCGCTCACAACTCTGCTACTGGGAACAATTTGCTCCTGGAGCTGCAGGGCAGAGGCATGAGTTGAAAGAGGTGCAAAAAAGGTAATAAAGTGTCAACAGTAACTTTTCTTGGGCGTCACTGGATTTCAGTCAAAAAAATAGCTTAAGGGGAGCAGAGACATTTCCCATAACCTGGAGCAGGACAGATACTCTGTAATGTATCTCAGAATGGAACAATTTACAACAAGAATCTAAACCCTAACCCAATGGACGAGGACATAGATGTTTATCACCTGGCACTCCTGAACCTGATACTTCACAGTGTAACAGCTTAGCCACTGCAGGGACAGGAGTGCTGTGCTTTGCTACAACCCAGTTCACAGCCTGAAGACCCACATCCTTGCAGTACACGGCAGCTCAAGTGCCTTCTCTGCTGGCTGCAAGTAGCCCTGGCCATCACCTTTTTGGTTTTTACAAAACAAGGAAAATGACTCCTGTAAGTTGGGGCACAGGCACCTGGCACTTTGCCCAGGGTCTTGGAACAAAGCATTGCCTTCAAAAGTGACCTAAGGAACCTTTCCCTACAAGAGCTCACACACTCTGGACTGTAGAGGATATTTTGAGTCTTACACTGTTTCACATTCTCTCCAAACCAACATTTCTGCAAAACATGAAGGACCATGAGGACAAAAAATGCATTTCTGCAAAACATGAGGACAGTTGCAAGAAGGCAGGTAGTGGAGGGATTCTTTAGAACATCTCAGAGTGCAGCCCCTGGTGTCCAGCAAGGAGGACAGCAGCAATGACAACAGTGCTGGAGCTGAGATAAAGCTGCAGCTTGAGGCTCCAGCAGGGAACAGCCTGAGCCCTCCTTTCCTGAATTATTGTATTTGTGGGGCAGGAAGGAGTGATGAATCTGACTCCATGTTCTCAGAAGGCTAATTTACTATTTTATGTTACTATATTATATTAAAGAATACTAAACTAAACTATACTAAAGAATACAGAAAGGATACTTACAGAAGGCTGAAAAGATAATAATGAAAACTCATGACTCTTTCCAAAGTCTTGACACAGCTTGACCATAATTTGCCAATAAGTCAAAACAATCCACATGAAACCAATGAAACAATCACCAGCTGGATAAGCAATCTCCAAACAAATTCCACATTTGTTTGTGACCACAACACAGGAGAAACAATTGAGGTAAGACTTTATTTTCCTTTTTCTCTGAGGCTTCTCAGCTTCCCAGGAGAAACTCCTGGGCAAAGGGATTTTTCAGAAAATGTGAATGTGACACCGTATCTTCTTGGCCTGCACTGCAGGTCATGACCCTTGGCTCACAGAAATGAGCTGCAGCCAACACTGCTGCTTTCACAATACAGAGAGGCAAAGCACGGAGGAGGGTTTGAACAGAGCATTTCCTCCTGGCCAAGCAAGAAACACTGGCAGCACATGCCCACTGGGGAACAACACATTGAGGGGGCCTGGAGACCATTTCTTGGTTTGTGCATTCTGATGCAGTTAAGATAAAAAGCAACTCCATGCTGGTTGCCCTGTAACTGTAAATATTTGTGAATGCAAACTATGTTCCTCAAACATTCCACAATTTTGCAATCTGAGAAAGCAGATGAGGTGAATTTCTACCTCAGTCACAATAATATCTGCAGATATTTCTTAATCTGGGAAAGAACTGTACCTTTTTTATGCTTATGTGTGCAATAATTAATTTCAGGAATTTTGCCAAGTATTGAATATACACCACCAGTGACTTTGGACTTACAGACATGGAGAATGACTGGAAACTTGTCTCCTTTCAAGAAGCAGATTGAAAATGTAGGTATTTATCTGAAGTAAAACTGATTTACCCATAGATTTCTAATAGTGAAATAATGTATGATATTTTTTTCTTTGATAAAAAGAAAATACCACCAGCAGTTTCTATTTAAAGCTGCTCCAGGCTAAGTCCCCTTTATTTATCTCTGCTTCTCATGGGTTTCTCCCACCACTAGTCACCCACAAAAGCCAAAGCTGAGCTGCATCTCATCTTCCCCATGAGGCTGGCTGAGCTGTCAGTGATGTGCTCAGCTGGCTGACAGGAGCCTTGCTCAGGCAGCTTCTGTTTCAGTAATTTCTGAACAGAAGACCCCCTCATTTCAGTCCCTTCACCCTACCCATGTGAGATGAAAACAAACTCATCCAGAATAGGAAACATTAATTTTCCAACTCTTCTTCAGAGAGTACATTCTCACTCTTTATTGACAGCCAAGTTGGTTGAAATTATAAACACAAGCTCACATCAGACACAAAATCTGAACACACACTTCCCGTTATGTTATCTGTATGACCCTTCTGACATGATTTTTTTTAAAAAAGCTCTAACTGGAATTATGATTTACTGTAAAAAAAAAAAAAAAAAAAAAAAGCTCCAACCTTCAGTTAACCAAGTATATAAAACCCCCACAGAAGTAAGAAAGAGACTGATGTGTGCACAAAGTACACCAAGCAAATGGAGTGGAACCATAGAGAGGTAAGCCAGGCACATTCTCAGAAATCCAGGAATTCCTCTGAGGAAGGCAAGGGGAGCACTCAGCTACACCACCCACTGCAGGAACCCGAGGTAGGTAACTGTGGCAGCCCCTGAGGCAGCAGCAGCTCATCTGGCAGGGAACAGAACAGGCTTTAACACCATCTGGTAGGTGCCTGGCTCCCATTCCAAGCCTTACTGTGAGAGCATGGGGTATTCCTGATGGCACAGAGCCTTCTATTTCCAATGGCAGTATGTAAACCCCAGAAGCTTTAAAGTTTGCTTTTTTAGAAATAGTTTTGTATTGGCTTTTCCACAAGCAACACTCTGGAAGGAAGCCTGACGTGTTGTGACCCTGCAATTTCCCTTCCCCATGTTAAGTAACAAACCCACCACACCCAAGTTTTTCTTGCTGACAAGGTGAAATAGTCTGCAGACTGCATCTCTCAAAAGGCCAAACATTGTACTCAGTCCTATTTTAATTAAAAGCATTTTTCGCAGCACTACAAGCACTGCAAGTCTACATAAAAAGATTCCTTATAAAGCAGTATCTTCACATATTTTTACAACAAAATGATCAAATTTTGATTTAGTTCCAATTAATGCATTACTTTTTTATTTAAATGATATTTGTGAAAATTGAATATTGACCAGATGCTGTGGCTTTCTGCTTAAAATGAGTCATACAGTGAAGTGGATCAAAACTAGAAATCTAAAAAGAAACTTATTCAAAGATGTATTAAATGCAGAAAGAGTGCTAGTACAAAGCATAGTTATGTAAATGAGATATAAAATCCAAGTGATTCTGTGAATCTTCATATTCAACCAAGTATATAAAAAAACTTCTTTCTTGACAGTATTCATCTAAAAATACTTATGTAAACCTTCAGCTTCTAAAAATGTTATTAAAATAAGTCATCTTACTTTCCAAAATGTCAGAATTAATTGTGGAATTACCAAAGTTGACCTGACTTCAAGAAAACCTTTTGACACTGTTTCCCACAACATTCTCCTGGCGAAATGGGCTGCTCATGGCTTGGACACATGGACTGTTCACCAACCAAAAAACCGGCTGCATGGCCAGGCCCAGACAGTGGTGGAAAATGGAGTCAAATCCAGCTGGTGGCCAGCCCCAAGTGGTGCTCCCCAGGGCTTCGTGGGCCCAGTCCTGTTCAAAATCTTTATCAATTTTGTGGATGAGGGGATGGAGGCAGCCTCAGTCAGCTGCAGACACACCAGGCTGGCTGGCAGTGCTGATCTGCTGGAGGGCAGGAAGGCTCTGCAGAGGGATCTGGACAGGCCGGATCCATGGCTGAGGCCGGCTGGGTGAGGGTCAGCCAGGCCAAGGGCCGGGGCCTGGCCTTGGGGCACAACAGCCCCAGACAGGGCCACAGGCTGGGGCACAGGGGCTGGGACCCTGCTGGGCAGAAAACGACCTGGGGGTGCTGCTGACAGCAGCTGGACA